TGTATAAGTGTCTGCGTCCTTGTATTGGGTTTAAAAAAAAGATACTGATAAAATACTAAAAATCTCACAACTATCAAAAGATAGGATTACTTTCTCGTTCCGAAAAGTAAAGGATAACAAGTTAGGATTTTCGCTAGGATACCGCAAAATTAGGATTTTCTGACAATTCTGTTCCCTCAAAAAAGAAAGTGACCGCACCCGTCCGTCCACATTCTCCGCCTAGCTGAACGGCCGCAGTCCACGACCCTAGACGGATGGGAAGCAAGGCAGGGCCGCCGCCGCTGGCTGAAAACCACTCGTCGCCTGTCATGGCGGCCTCCGCCACCACCGACGGTCCACCCTTCCCCATCTACATCTCATCCGACGAGGACGAGGACGTAGCAGTCCTTGGTTCCTCCAGCAACCCCGAGGAGATCCAGATCCAGCAGGCCATCCTCCTCTCCATCGGCCTCTCGCGCGACACGACAGGCATCCCCTCCTCCTCGGCCTCCCTCTCCGGAACCGACGTCGACATAACAGACCGCAAAGGCAAGCGTAAACTACGATCGGAGTCGCCACATCAAGTCATAGATATAGATGATAATGATAGGCAAGAAGTCATCGATGTAGACGACGATGACAGCCTGATCTTCATCAAAGAGACGGGCAGCGGGAAGTGGAGAAAACCACGTAGCGGTGGCCTGTTGGAGGTCGGCGAAGGTTCCCACAGCGCCACGATCATGAAAGAGTTCTACTGCACAATCTGCATGGAGACGCTCCCCGGCGTCGAGCGCTTCCCCGTCGCCGGGTGCGCGCACGCCTTCTGCGCGGGCTGCGTGAGGCAGTACATCGCGGCGAGGGTCGAGGACAACCTGCTGTCCATGGGCTGCCCCGACCCGGGCTGCAAGGACGGCGTGCTGCACCCGGAGGAATGCCGCGACATCGTCCCGCCTCAGCTGTTCCAGCGGTGGGGCGCCGCGCTCTGCGAAGTGGCGCTCGGGGACCTCAAGTTCTACTGCCCCTTCAAGGACTGCTCGGCGCTGCTGATCGACGACGGCCCCGGCCCCGGCGACGGGGGCGCGGTGGCGCTCACGAACGTGGAGTGCCCACACTGTAACCGGATGTTCTGCGCGCAGTGCAAGGTGCCGTGGCACGAAGGCGTGGGCTGCGCCGAGTTCCAGCGGCTCGGGGAGGACGAGCGCGGGCGGGAGGACCTGCTGCTGAGGAAGGTCGCGCAGGAGAGGAGGTGGCAGAGGTGCCCCCGGTGCAAGATGTACGTCGAAAGGGTGACCGGCTGCCAGTTCATGAGCTGCAGGTAACTACAACTGCTCCACCTGAATCTCTTCCGAACAACAAAATTACGGACCTTCATGTGCACAGAGTACAAACTAGGCGCGTTTCATGTGATCTGCAGGTGCGGCCACTCCTTCTGCTACATTTGCGGCGGCTCCACGAGGACTGGTGCACATCGTTGCAACCGCATGCGTACTACTTACTGACCTGCATGGTGAATGATCCGAAGATCGACGCTCAAGACCAACGGTACTTGAGGGGAAGGGTGTTACTCTCACAGATGGGTTTCTCTCAATTTAATTTTGTGTGTGTGGATCTATGAGCTCTCAATATGCAGTATATTGTGTAGAGTTCAAAATCATGTGATAAATTTCTAATTAATTTAGCTAATCCCCTGATGCCACCCAACGGCTCAACTGCGTAGCATAAACCCAATGGACTAGGTGCAAAACGGGAATACCTTTCTTGAATTCCAAATTGCAAAACTAGTTTCCTTTTAAGCAAGTGTTCAAATCGTAGTAGGTTTTGAGTAGTTGTATTCTTTGCAAGGAGAGCTTTTAAAAAACAGATGTATGTGTGTTACACATCCATAGAGCCATGTGATGTGGATGTTTGCTACTCATGCAAGTATGTAACAAACATGTTAGTTGATAACCAGACAGTACAATAGCAAGAGAGAAATAAAATGTCTTCATAAGCATTGAAGGCAAGATATTGCAACATCCAAGAAAGCATTGTACAACACTAAATGTACACTATTCTAGCAACTAGTGGTTGGGGCGCACCACTGGTGCGCCGCCTAAGGGGAAGTTTGGGCGGTGCGAGGTGAGATGCGCCCCTTCCACTATCCTCTTTATATATGCACTATCACTCTTTATACTATGCATGGCCATTGTCATATTTGTTCTCCACCAACAAAAACACAATAATACAAAGGTTTGGCTCAGCTAACTCACCCACTTAACTCGCACAAGCATCACATTCCATGACACAAGCACAACTATAACAACTGGTCGTTTTCTCGGTGTTTGTTCACAACACCACCAATGGCACCCCAGTGCATTTCACTCCCCGTATCCGGTCCTCGATGGCAGTCTCCTAAGTAACTATTAGAGCAGCATCAATATGTCTCTTTGTCCTCAATTTCATGTTTGATTACTCTATTAAGATTCCAAGCAAATATACCATGACAAGGCAATGCTCCTCGAACTTCTCCAGGAAGTTAGCCACCAAGCGATCCGCATTCGCGAGCCACTCTTCATGGTATATCCCAACCGTCTTTGCAATCGTTTGCAACCACATAGCACACAAGGATATCAATACAACTGGTAATCATCAGGCCTGAGATATGTAGATTGACCACAAGTATGATTTGAACTGAGAACCCCCATGGCTTGTTACCTTTTCTTGTTGTGCCTTCACAGTCTCCTGCAGTTTATTCATCTTCATATTCATTTGCAATCGTTTCTCCAGAAAAGAAGATGACCAACACGAGTTATTACCTGGACTGGGAGACCAAGCGAATAACATCACAATGTTTTTGAAAGACCAAAAAATAAGCCATGTGCCAAGCTCTACTTATCACATAAAATGATTGGTTAAGTGTCATCAGAAACGTGGCCAACCTTAACATAGCTCAGAGCATCTCCAGCCGTTCGCCCCCCATGGGCTAGAAAAAAGCGCCGCTTCGGGGCGAACCGGCGATATTTTCGGCATGGGGGCAATCGGGTTCCCAGTCGTCGCCTCCAGGTCGCCCCAGACGCACTTTTTGTAAATATTTTTAAAAAGACATTCGGCCAAAATTCGGCAAACACGACATAGATTCGGTGATATTTGGGCGTTCCACAGTTTTTTACATACAGAAAACGTAAAATCTACTAAAAAAGAAAAACAAAGGCCCGTCGTGCCTACAGGTCGAAGAACTTCGCCCACGCCTCGTAGTCGCCGTCGTTGCCGCTGTCGTTGTTCTCCTTCTCCTTCTTCACACTGACGTCCCTGCTGGACCCCTGCCCCGGGTCGCCTTGGCAGATTGGTTTGGCCGGCGGCGACGCCTCCCTCGGATGCGCGGAGCCTTTCGAATGCGTCAACAGTGCAGTGTCGTCGTTTGGTCTCGGGTGGCTGATGCCGTTCGACTTCTCTTGTGGTGCTCTTTGTTGTGTTTATGTTTCCCTCCCTGTATGTGTGTTGGCGTGTTTTTTTTTTGCTTATCTCTTCTCCTCTGTGCCCCCTGTAATTCTGGTTCGCTTGAACCTATCTCGCGACAGGCCGCAAAAGCCTTATAGGCAAATGAATGCAATTCAGGTGGGGAAAATGCCCCCCTCCTCCCGAAAATTCAATTTTTTTTGAAAGAAATAGAAATCTAGTAGGGGATTGTACTTCGGGTGTGTTTGAAATTTTATTGTACTCATGTCATTGCGATGGAATTATTTAGATGCAACATCCTTAGATTGATGGTTTAAATTAGTTGTCATATCCAGATGATAAAAAGAACTATGATACATCAATAGTATCTTGTAACGAATAATGAATATTTTGTGTCTAGCATTCTTGTAATGAATAATGAATATTTTGTGTCCAATAACAATATGTTGTAATGAACAGTGAACACTCAATGGCCAACATCAGTCAAGTAGTTATCCTACTAAATACACATATCCCACTTAATAATATATAAACTTTCGCAACCATCCCACCTAGCTTATATGCCACTTGCGCGGACACGTGTATCGAGCTTAGCTTCCCACCTGCAGCTCGAGGAAGCGACGTGCATTTGTCTACGCTTGTGTTTCTTCAGGTTGGATTCTTTCGATCTACGCTACTCTTCATCGGCAGCGGTTGCTGTTCTGCTGCGCTGGTCCTATGAGGCCTTAGCACGACGACTTTCCGACTGTCTACTACAACAAATTTTGCCTGACTCCGGCGAGGCAGGGGCGATGACGGCGGTGCGCCTTCGGCTCGCTTCAGTGCTTGTAGTCGTCCCTAGGTGGTCTATGAACCTGGATGTAGTTTTTGTTATTTCTGGTGCCCATTGTATTGCCATGGTCGAAGATGAATAGATTGAAAATTTGCTCACAAAAAAAGTACGATAATACTCCATTCAGAATATAAGATGCATCAATTTTGATGAAAAATCAAAAGAATGCATGATTGACAAAGATTGTAAACAAAATATCAACATCGGCAATACATAATAAATAAATATATGAAAACACACTTTGTGATGGATTTAATGATATAATTTGATATTATAGATATTAGTACTTTTCATAAAAACATAGTCAAACATGCATAGGTTTAACTTTTTGAAAAAGCATAATACACAATGAAGGTAGTTTTTATATTTATTTAGTTGCAGGGGTAGTATGAAAGAAAAAACAAATACGGGTGATTTTCTTCTTTTTTTTTGCCGGAGGCTGATTTCTTTTCCAACAGTGTTGACCAAGTAACGCACAATGTTTGGAAATTTATACATTTTGGATCCTAGCGATCTTCTCTGTTGCTGAAATAAATCGGGAAACCAGAATGATCCTGATCTGCACGGACTTGTGATCCTCACCGTCCAACCTCTACGCCCTCTCTCCCTTGCTCTCGCGTCAAGGAATCCCACCCGTCCACGTGTCCCGCAATGCCCCACCGCCACGCAGACACGGGCCCCGCTTCCCCCGTACCAAACGGATCGGAAGGATCACGAGCCGCCGCCGCTGGCTGAGCACCACTCCTCGCCGGCCATGGACATGGAGGCGCAAGCCGCCGCCGCCGACCCGCACTTCCCCATCTACGTCTCCTCCGAGGAGGACGACGGCATTACGTTCCTTGGCGACTCGTTCGACCCCGAGGAGATGCAGATCCAGGAGGCCATCCTCCTCTCCATCGACTCCTCCCGCGCTCCAACCGCCATCCCGACCTCCTCCTCCGCCTCCTCCTCGGCGTCCCCGTCCGGGCCCGACGTCGCCGGCACCTCCGGGAAATCCACCGAAGAGTCCCCTCGCGACCGCAAGGGGAAGCGCAAGTTATTGGAAGGTAATACATCTACAGATTCGCTTTCCGATTTTCAATGCAGGTGCGCGTAAAATGCGCTTGCTAGTTGCCTGATTGTTCCAGTCTTATGCAATGTGGAAGATGAGCCGAGCGATTCGGGGAAGCGGCGGAAGCGCAACCGCTTCAGGTGCGCCATCTGCATGGAGAAGGTTCAGGTTTCAGAGCAGTTTATTGTGAGCCACTGTTCGCATGCCTTCTGCAATGGCTGCGTCGGGCGGTACGTCGCCACCAAGATCGGCGAGAACGTGGAATCGATAGGTTGCCCTGACCCTGAATGCACAGAGGGCTTCGTTGAGATCGAACCATGCCGAGATATCATTCCCCAGGAGCTTTTCGATCGCTGGAGTGTTACTCTGTGCGAGCAGTCCCTAGGGAATGAGAAGTACTACTGCCCTTTCAAGGATTGCTCCGCGTTGCTGATCAAAGACAATGACAGGACGGTGAAAATCAGGGACACCGAGTGCCCTCATTGCCATCGGATGTTCTGCGCACGGTGCCGTGTGCCGTGGCACGACGGAATCAAGTGTAAGGAGTTAAGGAGGCTTGGGGATGACGAGAAGGGGGAGACTGATCTGATGCTTAAGAAACTGGCTAACAAGAATAAATGGCAGAGGTGCCCCAGCTGCAAGATGTACGTCTCGAGGATCGCTGGGTGCTTGCTCATGAAGTGCAGGTAGTTTATCTGTCTAATCATGTTTCCCTTGCAATTCATGCCCTTTTCTTGGACTAACGTAATGGATGGTAGAAATATCCCAAACCCAAAATGTTCCTCTTCCAATTTTGTTCATGTGCACTATAAAGAGGCGTGGCAGACTAATCTGCCCTTCAGTTTACACAAGTCAAACCTAATTAAGAATACTTTTCTCCACCTTTAGCTGTGATATTCACACTCTTTGCTTGGTACTGTGGAAGGATGGCCATGATTACAAAGTTAAACAATAAGTCGTTCTTTAAGGTCTGTCATAATATACCTAATCAGTATGTACTATGCTGAGTGCGCAATCCTGCCATTTTTTTTGCTGTATTTCTGGGTGCACATTTTACTTATATGGGTAGCAACTGATTTGGCTTGTGACCTTTTAAACAAACTTTTACTTGTTAATAGCAGTTCCCATAGGGCGATGTTCAATATACTCCCTTGTGTTATTCTAACAGTGCACATTGATTAGGGATGCCATCTATTTGGGAAAAACACGAGGAAATGACTTAGTGGATCCCCTTATATAAGAGTGAGAATGTTTGTGGGTATTTAAATGGGGATAAAACAGGGAAAAATCATTTGCAAGACAACTTGTATTTTCTAACAGAACTGGAAAACTTGATATTCTGTAAATGGGGTGGTATTTGACAACTTTTCACCCTTAGTCCACAGACAGTGCGCCGGCACACATCGAGGTTGCATTTGCCTACTTTTAAGTTCCAAAAATATCTGTTATTTTGTGCGTGCACATTGATCTATGAAGTGTGAATATGCAAATTTTGATCCAAAATTATGTCTCTTTCTTTCTTACTTACTGGAAAATGCAGTAGTCAATCAACGTTATCTGGCTTGAAAATGTGTTCCCAGAAAACAATGTATACAATTTTTTCTTGTTTATCACAGGAACTAATATATTGTCCCAAAGTCTACAGGATCAGAAGTCATCAATCAATGTACATCTACCCAAAAATATCCAGTCCTGTAGAACTTCTAAAAGGGCATTTTCTAAAATCAACCGGGTGCATGTGCCCCAGTGAACAAAATTCACTCTTCTTAGCCCACCTTCTGTAGATTATATTCTCTGGGTGAAGATGTGTTTTATAGAAATAAGATCCACGGGTAGCTATTTAAAGTAACTAAAGGGGGTTTTCGTGAAACCAGTTATAATAGCCAATAGCTTGTTAGATGTGTTAGGACCTGTATCTGGTATTATAATACCAGGAGACTTAGCATTCCCAGGTTATACGGTTCTAGAAATTTGTGTTTTGCTTAGTTCCTTTGGGAGTGTACTGGGATTGTTGTTTTAGTTTTTCTTGAACAGTTCTGTTGGAAGCTTGTTGGTTTTGTTTTTTTCTTACATTAAGCATTACCTATCAAGTTATACGGTTCTGGAAATTTGTTTTTTGCTAGTTCCTTTGGGAGTGTATTGAGGTTTGTTGTTTTAGTTTATCTTGCATAGTTCCTGTTGGGAGTTTGTTGATTTGGTTTATCTTACATTAGATCTCCACTGCCACAGTTTGTCTCAGCAATTTTAACTTTGAGTAAGCAAGTCAGGACTACCTGCCATCACACATGAACAAAAGTCAGACCAATTGGGGTTGTTTTAAATACTAAATCAAATGTTAGGGCTATTTATAAAGCTCAAATCTACATTCATAATATATTTTAAAAGAAAATCTGCAATATCTTTTGTTATATGTACAGGTTCTTTAAGCAGTAAACACATCTGTTGTCATTTTTATATGTTTACAGACTTCATGGCATCACTAACAGTTCTTTTTTTTTTTCTGTTTTGAAGGTGTAAACAGTACTTCTGTTACCATTGCGCTGCTCCAATGAGTAAAGCTCTTCACTATTGTAAGAATTGCAAGAGGTAGTGAAGGTCAAACAAACTCAGACTTTGTACATAGTTATAGGTTAGCATCCACGAAATAAGTAGGCTATCACCTCCGCGGACTGGAGATGTGCAAAGCACACAAGCCCCTCGGAACTGGTGTGGTTCATCTGCAAAGCTGTAAATTTTCCTCATTTGCTGTAGTCAGATCAGCAGTTTTGCACTGGGTGATGTTACACTTTGTGTCCTCATTCATTGTAGGCAGATCAGCAGTTTTGCGCTGGATGATGTTATACTTTGTGTCGAACTTCATGCAGATTTTAACCTGTGTGTTGCAGTGGTGCAGTAATGCATGTGTCTGCAGTTGGCCTGACTGATTTTGTGCTTGGTTATGCTTGATGATGACCGGATCTTTTATACCGGTTATTTCTGTATATTGCAAGTCTCGAGTTTGTACTTGGGCAACTAGTGCTGTTTAGAAGCTATGGGCGTGTTTGGTTGTGTGTGGGTCGTGCCCCCCTCCCCTATACCCCACACCCTAGTGAAACCATGGGGGTGTGATTTTTGCCGGTTTGATAGCATGTGAGCACTATTGAGCTGAGCCTGCAAGTCAACACCCAGTCAGGCTCGTGAGGAACGATTGAATCAGCAGTTTTCACTTGCACATGTTCTCAGGGAGGGGAACGTGGCGCCGAGCTCGTGTGAGCGGGGACATGGCATGACCTCACACGTGTTTCCAAAAAAAAATGGCAGGAGTAACTAGGTCACGTCTTGTCGTTTGCCTCGCCTTATTTAGCCCCCTTA